ATGTACAGCCAGAAAAGTCGTTATCATCTGCACTCATCGTCTCACCTTTACACGGACTTCACCTAAACAAGGCTAGCTCTTTCTCTGGGGTGTCCGGCGCCCTCTCTCGGCTAGCTGCCAGGACCTGCGGCTGGGGATGGCGGGAAGCATTACTTACTGGACTTAAGGGTCATCTACTGTTGTGCTTCCCTGGAGACTCACTATTTTGAGAAACCGTTAGGCACCATCAGGACATCTTGGGTCATCTCGTACCCATCCACCAGCGCTGTGATTGCCTTTTGAAGATACAATTATGACGACATGGTAGCTAGAAAAGCAGTACCAAAATGACTGCGGCCAGTAAGGACTTGGCAGTACGTAGCGAATCATGGGAATCCAAGGTTCGTTTTCAATCATCTGGAGCGTTTCAGTTTGAAGAGCGGGCGGGTAAACATAGAAACCTGCCAAAGGCTGCGGGATTCAGGATTAAACAACAAACTTCCTCCTCCATGTGTGTTCTTTGAGTTTCTAAACAGGTCTTGGCTACGTCTTGGCTGACCAACCGCGTGGGTTTTCTTCGATTCAGCCACCTCCGCAATCTTCTGAGCAACTTCTTTATCAGGCATTTTCTGCTCCTTAAGGTGCGATGCACTGGCGAATGAAGGTGTGATGACCAGGCGAATGAAGTTGACAAGATTCGCATCAAGCCAATTCGATGACCAGGCCCATCGTGGCCATAAACTACTCTTCGTATGTCCTTTGAGAGTAGTGAGGATACTCTTTAGATATGTATTCCCACGGGTGTGTTTCAAAATCCAAAGTGTCCAAGTTTCATCAAATGTTGCCAGTATTTGGAAAAAGAAAACACTATGGAACTCCTTGACCAAAATTGACCAAACTCTCACAAAACCACTTGTCTGAAGGTTTTGCTCGGTTTTGCTGGGCCATCAGGCCAGAATCAGAATCAGCTTGAGGAAAGGAAGAATCAGCTGCGTTCCCTTCCCATCTGGCCGCATCCTCCCTGAAAATGCCCTGCAGTCAGGTTTCTTGCATGGTTTGTGCGTTGATCTAACTTCATGAATCATCGAAACATGCCCGGAATCCGCGAATTCGGGGCCCGACGAACCCTGGAAACCAGGCTGGGGAGAAGAAAAGCATGGAACATCAAGAATCAGCAGATCCAGTCACCCACGGTCAAGAGAAGGTAGGAAATCTAGAGGAAAACTCCAATTCCCGAACCAAAAAAGGGGTTCTCCTGTAGTAGATGCTCCTGTAGAACAATCAATCCCACAGCGGTCATCGCAGACCTAGCGGACCCGGGGTTGACCTCGTACTGAAAAGAATGGATGCCCAAAGGTCTCGGGGGCTTCCTCGCTGGTCACGTCTCAAGCCGTCCTTGAAAGGCTCTGGTTGGTACTGTCTACCATAGCGCTGTGGTTTGGAAGTGCTTTGCATTCAACCACATCCCATGAGATTCGAGCTGGCCACTGATGGAGAGTCGCGCAAGACATTCCCTGCGCGAGTCGCGCTGCAGCGAGCGCGACTCACGCGCGTGCCGCCCAGCACTGGTCTCCTCGACTTTCATCTTGCCCAGCTTCTCATACCTGGCGCCATGCGTCATGGCTGGTGCTAGGTGCCCAAAGTCAGGGCTTTTCCTTACATACCTATACCTGGGCCCTGATAGCCATTCACAATCCCATACGAAGCAGGAAGCACTACAAGGTGCAGTGATGTGTAGTGTACGATCCATGATCTCCTTTCCAGCGTTTGGGGATCGTTTCTGGACTGCTTCGACAGTCGAGACTTACTTGGAGCTCAACTCAAAAGAACATGGATGTGGGCCGATCATTTGTGGAACATGTTCTGAACAACCCAAAAAACCCACTCCATCACCATTGTTCGTAAGGCCCTACAGGTGGGGCTTGATCGCCAACATGTGATGAAACTAGTGACATCATGTGACATCTACTGACCATTGACATCCGTTGACCATAAGCATGAAAAGGCTCCAGAATCTTACATTGTTGAGGTGAGTACACATTCTTAGATCCTGTCACAGTACAGGTGCGTCTCGGTCAAGCAACAACCACCCTTACAACAAAAGCCGTGATACCACGGACTAGAGCTATAATGTAGACAGCTGATAAATCAGAACCCCTGCCAGAATGGTTTTACATCATTTTACATCTCCGTATGTTCGTGTTTTCATTTATCAAGAGTCTTTAGATGAAACAAAAACGTTCACATATGTTCGCCTCCAAAAAAAAGACACACAACCACCGGACGGGCCTAACAGGATGTCCACCAAATGCATGCCGCTGCGAACCTCCCAGATTCTGGCAGCTTGCAAACTCCTTTTCGGTGACGCGCTGCTCCGGCCTGGCGCCGGTGCAGTTGTTCGACCGTCGGTCCGTCCCTGCACTCCGTTCGAGACATACAATGAGTCTTCTTCAAATAGTAGACCAAACAATTCAGGGCTGGGCCAACCAACACATATTTGAAACCATTTCATACCATTTCCATGGCCTGAGAAAGTATGCAAAGGTTCACGTCGGACGTGAAAACGATCAAACTGATTTCTAGAAGACTTGAAACTCAAACAGGTTCACTGAAATACCAAAGTTAATCCCAAATCCCAACCTGGGTTCCTACAAGTATGGTCTTAAGGTATGAAAAGAGTGTCTATTCATGAGATAAAGTTATCTTTTCCACTCGTGGAACTGCTGCAAAGTGGATGTTTCCCTCCATGATTAAGACAAGTACCCCAAGCGTCCATCATGACCCAAAGCCCACAGGTTCTCCACTCTGCAGCACTTGAAGTTCTTCAGCTAGCCATGTTAGACGCGCTGAAGCGAAGCTAACTCATGATGGATGGTTGTGAAGGTCTTTTCCCTTTGTTTAGAGCTCTGCGCTCAACCAAGAAGCCAAGTTTGCACTCATCCCAACTGAACTAAAGGTCATGTCGACAGGAACAGCTATAGAAAACCACGGAACACCCGCTCTTGTGGAGAGATTTTGGTCCCGTTCCCCAGAACAGCCTGACGGAGATAAAACAAAACCCAAACCCCCGGTCCTCGCTGGCGGAGATTGGAGGTGAGAACTGCGGAAGACTCTCCATGGGAAGCATCCCTACGGTGGTCTTTAGACCTGGTGGCCCGGTGGGACTCCCCGGAAGGACCCTTCTCTGGAGCCCAAAATCACGGGTTTCACGTGAGATGTGATAAGAACTGCTCAGGATTCGTTTCAAACCAACGATCTGGCCATAAACACCTTGAACATCCTTGAACCTTGCAAAGTTATCCTCTTCAAATTCTTGCCACACCCAGGATTCCAGCAAATACATCAAAAACCTGACCTGATGTTAGACCTGTATCATCTCAAGTCTTCAAAGCCCAGCCATGTCCTCTTGCCAGCTAAAAGGCCATGCCATGCAGCTTAAGCCCAGCTGTTTCGGCCAGGCTTTGTCTTCAAAGCACAGAACTTCTTCTTGAAGACCGCACATGGCCTGGCGGTTCGGTGCGTCCCACTCTCAGAGCGGCTTGTGCGTGCGGTTCCGAACACCCCTTGTCTCGGCTCTTAGCAGCACGAGGTGCCCGCTTAGCACATCTGACCTGTCGTAGATGTGGATTGGTCTCAAAAGGTCTCAAAGTTCCACAGACCTCATCATCAAACGGCCAACCGCACCCCATTTGGGGGCCTTGCACCGCAGGCCAAGGCCATGAAGGCCTTGCCCACTGCAAAACGATCCTCCCACCCGCTGGAGATCGTTGGATCTGACCACTGGTCTAGTGGAGATCCGGCCGAGTGGCCCATGATTGATCTGGTCTTTTTGATGTTCTAGCAAGGCCCTATTCCATCTACTCGCATGCGAATTGAAAACAACTGCTCACTTGTTTCCATCAACATGTGATCTTTGCACTTGTTACAAACGTTGTGAAACGGACACAGGCTGGAGTCTATGGCTTCTTGGGCCTTGCTGGACAAGCTAGCACGAAAAAGGCACGCAGGCTGCAGTGCTTGCAAAGAATTGCCTCTGGCCATCCTGATGCTTGACATATTTGAATGGAAAGGCCACACTATGCCGCACGTCTCGACATAAGCAACAGAACCTGCACCTGCTGTCCGGCTCAGGAGTCGTGTGGTCCGGCTCAGGAGTGGTGTTGGGTTCATATGCTGCACATTGCTGAAAAACCAGTGGAGTTTAGGCTCAAAAGTCCGGTCGAACAACACGTTGATGGTGCTCTTAGTATAATGAGTGTTCCTCTTACGTCCTCTTACAAGGCGCATGCGCCTAGGAAGAGCTGCAAGGCAGGAGCTGCAATTGGTGACGATCCGCACAGGTTTACACTGAAATGACTTCATGGGTGGAAACCTTCCGACCACATCATGAGTGATCTGAAGATGCATGGGAAAAACACGCAAAAACACCTTGGTAACAATTCAGTCAATGAGGTCTGGCTTTAAATGGTTTTCCTGACGAAGTGTTGTTGATAACTCCACCGAAGCTTGCCAGAGGCGGCTCAGGAGTTCTGGGGACCTTGGACGATAGGTGGACGACGATAGGCGGCTCCGCTGATGTTTCTAAAGCTCAGTGATGTATCAGGAAACCAACGTCTGTTTCAAGTGATGCCATTGACTTGGAACCCACTTACTCGGAGATGCAAAGTGAACACCCAGCTGAGCGGTCGGTCTGCGTGAAAATCTGCTATTTCTTGTCGTTCTGGGCTTGTCTCACAGGCATTTTCACAAGTGTGAAAGCCAATGCAGGAAGCGCATCCTCGCGCTTCCGGCGTCTCAACAGCGCATTGGTGCGTTGACAGTTGCATTGGGCCATTTGGCACCGTCCCCCATGACGAATTTAACACACATTGACATTCAATGACATTGCCTTGGTGCTTCTCACAGCCGGAACCAAGGTTGCGCACCTTTCATCGACCGCCTCTGTGATGAGGATCATATTCACATGACTTTCTGCATTCACAAGTCTTAACGGATTTCTTAACCTTTCAATGTGAGTGATTTGAACTGTCAAATACTCAGAGAAACACCTGTCAATGATTTGGATGGCGTGCCATCATCTCCTCATGGGCAAAATTGGCGGCTGAAACCACGCCAACATGCGCATCGAATTAACCTACCCCCATGGTTAAGAAAAGGCCATGGGCAGAAAAAAACTAAAACAACTATATAGCCCCTAAGAAATTGTCGCCCTCACACACTCGCGCTCGCCGCACGGAGGACTTCACGATGCCCCTGTGTCAGGGCAGCTGCATGTCTATAGCCGGTTGTCCCCAGCACCCCACAAGTCTAGTCCATCTTGAAATTGCAGGCGCGGCTACGGCCACGATATTTCAGCTTTGTTGGGAGCTGTTGCTGGGGGGACTATGCAAGGTCTACACTTCAATCATATCCATTTGCAACACTGGAATGCTGGCATCTAATATTAGATGCATCATGGCATCTGAAGCTTGAGATGTTGCCACCATACCTCCGCCTCCACAGCTTCCCGAACCATTTTGTACCTCCATGGCCTCACGAACTGATCCGATGCCGAATGGCTGGGGAGGATGAATGCCGAGGACAGCCACCTCGTAGATGCTCATGCGGCCCTCGATCGCGGTCAGATCAGTGATGCGAGCTGTTTTTTTCCTGCATCAGTGAAAGGACAATCTGTTCCAAATTACAAACACAGCTTCATGACAAAGACTTTTGGGCTCAAGTTGAGACCAACCAAGCGACAAGGCAAAAGGAGGTGTGCACTGCTTCTTTGAATTTCTTTACTACATAATCTTGAGAAAACCTAGAGGGGCACAGAGTCCTCAGAGTCTTTGCTGACGATGACTTCCGACCCCACCATCATGTGTTGCACACGAATGGCGCCCTCTGGGGATAACAGCTTCTCTCCTGGAGGGGTCTAGGCAGTCTAGGCCACTTCCATGACAATCACTTTGTTTGATCCGTCTGGTCTTCCTTGACTGCATGTGGTTTTTCCGTCCAAAACGCTACCCCCACTTCCACTTCGGCTAAAAAACCACAGTTCGTTGTACCACGCGTTGCGTTCCAAACAGGCACAATGAAACACATATATAGTATTAGTAATGGCCTAGTTGAATATTCTACGTGCTGAGTTCACAATTTTGGTCAACACCATGTCCTTGCATCACCTGGTATAGACCGCCAATCTGCAGCCGGATGATGGAGACGGCTTGCTCCTGACTGGCCGGGTCGAACCAAAACCACAGCCGCTTCACAGGCAAACAAAGAAAGACGCAGAAAGACGCAACCAAAACGTATCTTTGAAAAGGCACGTTGGTATTCTCTGCTAAACACAGCATGTACATTATAGTTTATATGTGTAAATACACCCTGGGAGTCAAAGACTATAAAAAGAATGGTCTTTAGGTGACCCGAGTCAAGGAATATGCTTTACCTCAGTCGGGTAAAACATAGTCTTTGGACTTCTAGGGTACATATATTGTTTTTATATCCCAACCCCACCGGCCGCCCACGCCTCGAAGAGTTTGAGGTTCACAACTTTCATCACTCGACCTGCTTGATCTGCCAGGCGATCTGCCAGGCCTGGTCGAAACAGGTCGGTGTTCGTGTTTGGACCAACCTTTTTTTTCGGGCATATAGCTGTGGTAAAGTCTTCCGGCTTTGACCCTATAGCCATATTACAATCAATCTCATGAACCGTGGGCGCTGCTTATGGATGCTGGTCATCTCTGATCAACATTCGCTAGCCATACAACGAATGGGCACCAAAAAAAAGACGTTCAAAGACCCCTCAAAGCACCAAAAACGCCGGGCCGACGGACAGACTTCACCTCTGCCAAGGCACACAGATGCTCGACGCTGACGGTCTGCCCCTCGGGAGTCTGAAAGATGGTCCGAGGCAGGAACTTCTTGCGGGGCGCCCGACTCGGCACGTCCATCTGGCCTGCCCGCAGTTCATCGATGGCCACTTGGATGCGCTGCAAGGGCAGAAAAAGCGGTGTCCGTGGAATGCTCTCTAAGCGCAGCATGCAGAAGATTGGAGACGATTCACGGAAGGTCACCTGGACGCTCAGGCATTTCGACTGACAAAGGAGCTCATAGTCGTCCTTGTTCTCGAGCCAGGCACGGTAGGTGCCAAACGCGTCCGCGGTAATGCGGCTGCAGCCCCCTTGAAAGTGGTAGGTTCCGGCTGACCAAAAGTTGGGCTCGATGCGGAACTCATGGACCAAAGACAAGAATTCCTGATTGAAGGCGAGTCCGGCTTTGTCGCCACTCCATTCAGGGATTGCATGAATCCAATCTTTTGGTCCCAATGCAGGATCCTCCATGTGGGTGCAGTAGATGGGCTGCCCTGGCAAGACTTCTGGGTTGGTCAAATGGAAGAAGAAAAATCCTTCAGGTCCCCATTGAAGCATTGCAGGAACCGCCATGGTCGAGTGGGTCGTGCCAATCGGGTCTCTCATAAACTGCTGCGATAGAATGAATCAAACTGGCATACATGTTGCAACTTGCCGTCAGGTATGGACATGTCGTTTGGAAGGCTGACGACACTTCTCTGCAAAACGCCCTAATACTCTATGGAGAAGGGACCAAAATACCACAATGATTGGTCTTAAACTCTACTACAGCATTACACATCTGATGAGTTACATATCTGCCGCGCTTGATCAGCGCTTGATCTCTCTCTCTCTCTCTACCCACTGCGCATAACCCCATAAATCTATCCAGACATGTCGACTGTCGCGAGGACTCGTCGCGTCGACTCCACATCTGAAGCTTACCCAGACATGACACTCGGGACTGGCATATGTACCACCCCATGGACCAATGGACCCCAACCACCCCGATCGGCCGTGCCACTCGGCAGTCCGACATGGCAGTCCCAGACGGGTCGTGCCTGGGTGAAAACGAACGGAACGTCACCGACTCGACGTCCCCGACGGAACGTCACCATCGACGCACCAAAGGGACGAAAGAAAACGAGGATGTTCGGATGTTCCGGACCAAACATCACGGGGGGGGGCATGTTAATCCTGACATATCCTGGAACTCACATTGGAACAGGGCATGTTATAAAGAGGGGATCTTCTGGAACTCACATTGGAAGAGCATTTTCCTTGGGACTTTCTGTTTTCTATGCGAGTTCCAGGGAGAGCAGTCATGATGGGTGCTCCTGGCAGCAAAGCCTCTTTGTTATTTTCTGGATGCATTCGGCGTGAGACTTGAACCTCTGATCGTTGAGCCTGTGTCGAGTCAGAGATCCAAAGTGAAGCAGCGCAAGCGCGGCACGAATGAATGCCAGCTTCCCTTATATCGATATATCATACTTTAACGGGAGGATCCATGGCGAGATAGCAAGAGCGATAATCAAATCGCAGGGATCTGTGCTAGTGCAGGTCGCAAAGGTCTCCTGTCCGACAGGTCTTGAAAGTGACGCTTGATTCGGGTTCCTAAGTGACCTCAAACTGGGCCTATATAAGTGACCTCAAACTCGCGACACCCCTATTCATATGGTCACTTTGAAGTACATGTTCAATGTCTCAGAATTTTGAAATTGATTGAAGGATATTGAAGGTCAGTTTATATAGACCTTTTGGCACTGAAGAACCGTCACATGTTTAGATGCTTGATAGATAAGTTCAATGCAACTTTGATGAGAATTTATGCCGCACTAGCTAAGGGAGTCCTACACAGTACACTGCTGCAAGCACAACTTCTGTATGCCCGGCAGCTTGACTAACATCTACGGTTTCTCCACAACATGCTCATGTTTAAGCAACAATCTCAACGAGAAACAAGGGGAGTGCTTGAAAATCGCGGAAGACTGCGAAAATTGACGGTGCTTCCGCGTTGTCCACGGTGGTATCAAATCGATCTCCCTGGCTGTTCAGCAGCGGCGGCTCCACATCTGTTGGAGATCCTTTACAGTAGCGTCCAACGAGCACTCTGGCCACGACCAAGACTTTGGTCCCATCTGCCCCACCCTTCTTTCCACAGAAGCGCATGGAATATCGTGGATCTGAGGAGAAGTAGGTGGCATGACCTAACAAGGTGCCATGCCGTCCTGCAAAGCTCCGATTGAAGCCCTGCTTCAATATCTTTGGCACGAAGCTCCACGCAGTGCCATGCCAAAGATCTCGTTCTTCCGGCTGCTGGCGCTGCTGGTCTGGGCCTGCCCCCCTGAGCCATGGTGGACTTTAAGGCTTCATAGACATTCGCCTGTCCTCCTTAGATGTTCAAAGCACTTCAGGCCATGTGTTCTTCCCAAACCAGATCTGGGGATCTCCAAACAAAAAGGGCAAAACCGCTGAAACAATCTGGGCTTCCCAGCACACGATAAATTCCCAAGATGTGCGCCTCCGGTATCCTCTCCTCTAGCTCGTCTCTCAACCTTCGCTCATCCGTCTCTTTAGCTTCTGCAATCAGCTTGCTCTCCAACAAAAGCCCCGTACTCACCATCTCTGCGTCAGACCGTCCCGGAACCGCCTCACCCGGAACCGCACTGGCAGCCTTTCCCATCGCTGGACTGGTCCACTTCAACCGGAAGGACGAGGACGATTTGCGCCGGTCGGCAGGGCGAAAGACTGGGGTCGCGCTGGGCGAGGGCGAGCGCGGCCCTGGGTGGCACGGGTTTCGGAGTTGTGGCAGGGTTTGGTGGCGGGTGGGTTGTTCGTTGGCTTCGGAGTGTTTTTGCGCTGCATGCCAACAGGATGCCATGAGTCAAGAAACATAGTTTAGGTAATCATGGCAAAAGCATGCAAAAGCCGCTATTGATTTCATTGTTGGTTCTTTGGGGATCTTGACCGCACTTGTCTCAATGGGAAACAGCATATATAAGGCTTCAGTTTAGCGTTTTGACATGCCCTCTGATGATTCATCAGTGGGCCATGTCAAAAAGCTATAGGAATAGAAGAGGGGGGGCCACCTGGAGATACTTGAAAGATTTCTAGAAACTCTGAGACACTGGAGATATGTTCATGAAGCTACTCCAAGCCTATAGTAGAGATTCTCGTGAGCTCTCATGCAAAAATCAAAGAGCAGCGCAGCAAACCCACCATCACTCACCCACCTCCAGGTATTGAAAACATCAACTGAAACTCAAGCTCTAAAGCAAATGCATATATATATATTATTTATTTACTTCATATTGTATTGAGTTTATATGTTTAACATCAGTCTTTTGAAAGGTGCTCTCACCGCCCACCGGTCACCCACGGCGTGTCTCACCGAGCTGCGACTCTTGGGTCTCACCGCGGGCGACGCACGCCGCACGGCGCTGCAGCTGCGCTGGTGCGCGGCGAGGAGATCGGGGCGGAACTGGCGAGCACAGAAGGAACAACGCTCCAGTTGATTGCCTGAAGTGGATTGGGTGAACTGTTCGGTCCACCTGAAAAACACTGGGCTCATGACCAAGTCGACCAGTTCCTGGATTTGAGATTTCGTCAATTTACTCCCAAGCCAGTGCTCAGGAGAGAGTGGGCCTCCTTGGGAGTATTACCCGTCATTCCTAAGGATAGAAGCGCTTGCAGCGATTGAGAGGTGCAGCGACTGAGGCATGTTGAGAGGTGGCAACAGGTGGTCGACAGGGCCCCGGATGATCCAAATCGATTCGCGCCGTCTATGGCCATCCATGGCCTATGATTCTTTCAGTTGGGTACTTGCCACCCAAAGCATGGCATCTGGCCTTGATTGGCCTTCACACACACACACACCAAACAACTCAAACTACGGCCCGGCTTGACAAAGAACGGCCCCGGCTTTTCTCTAGTTCGGAATTGCAGTTGTTTGTCCCAAGACCCTGGCTCCGAGTATAGCCACATTACATTGAAAGAACGATCTGTCCTCCAATCTCTTACTATGACAGATTTATTTGGGACATGCTCAGGCTCCTCAGGCTGGGGTGACTCAGGGAATCCAAACAATTTAACAGAACATAGAGCTTGGTCTAGGGAGCATCCGTATCCGCCTCGGGTCTGCTATGGTCCAAGCTGGAACGCTCTTAAACATACTGGCGACCCTGGACTCTTATTATTACCATTGGACCCAGGCCTGCCACTATTGGACCAGGCCTGCCACTGGTGGCCTGGTGGCCCCAGGCCTTGCACTGGGCCCAGCGAAAAAAGGGATAGATCCAAACGATAGATCCGGTGTTGTACGGTGTTGTACTTGGTTCTTTTCCGAAGCCTTATGGTTTGTCATTGGCATGTGTTGGCCTGTCGATGCGAGCATATAGGAACTTTCAACTGGCTGGCTTGGGTTAAGCTTCGGATGAGCAGTTGTGTGCGACATCGTTGGAATGTGCAACGCAAACCATGCTCCGGAATTCATTGCAAAAAAACACATCATTGCAAAAACAAAAAAAAACGTCTGTGTCAACAGTAACTGCTCATTGAATCCCAGAATTGCAAAAACGAGCTTCAAAAAGCCGTGTAGGAGTTCACCGCGGCAGGTGGCGGCCCCGCCAGCGTCACGCGACGTCGCTCCGGCCGTCGATCCACCTTCTCGCTGCGCTCGTTGTGCTCCAGTCGGGGCCGTTGAAGACAAACCCGTTGATGAGTGGCCAAGCGATCTGGATGGAAGGTGCGCTTGCAATGTTCACATGGCATCAACTTGGATGGATAGGAAGCCATCTGCGGTGCTGGATAGGAAGCCTCATCATCTGGGGCATCTGATTGTTTTCCCAGGCTGGTCATGCCTCTCATGACTTCGTAGTGATGCTCTAGACTCTCACCCTCAGGAACTTCGGATTCATCCAGTAAACGACAGCGTTCCGAGGGGTGTCGCTGGGACTCACGAAGCTCAAATCGGCGCCGGCATGCTTTCAAGTGAATGTCTAAAGACTTGTGGGTCAAATATTTTTGTCCACAAATGTAGCATCGCAGAGGAGCTGGCGGCGCTCGCTTTTCGAGGACGGTATCGTCAACGAAAGACAAGCCTGACATACAAAGCTCCAGGGCCTTTCTCTCATCGCCGCCACACACGTGCAAAGCAACTTTGGCGATTTCAGGACCAAAGCCCATATCTTGAAGTCTGGAGACACTCTTGGCATCATTGCCGTTCTTCTGTGCTTCTAGAAGTACCCGATGTAGGAAGCGATCATCCGAAAAATGCAGTCTCGGTCCTCCAGCCGCATCGTCTATCTGAGCATCGTCTGCGCCAAATGACATGAGAGCAGCTCGGAAAGGTGTGCACTCTGGGAGCACATCTGCATGCGGTCGGTGATGAGCAACCAACACGAGTACTAGGTTTGATTCCTTTTTTTTTGCAAGCTTATGTGACAGGCTGGTCATATGGATCTTAGAGGGATAACATGGTCACCATCATGTAACTGGAACATATTGGAACCATGAGAGGGTCAAGGAATGTCAAGGAGATGGATGCCAAAAACAAGGTCCTCTCATGGCTCTGAGCCGGTCTGTAGCTGGTCTGAAGCGGTCAAACTGGCTATGAAAGTAAAGACCCTGTCCGTACCAAGCTAGAGCAACTTGAGATTGTTCTCAAACTGGGTTGTCAGGTGTGGAGATGGTTCTGGTTTCCACAAACAGGAAGACTTGCCAGGTGCATCAACGCCTCCCCCAAAAAAAGGAGCGTCCCCCTGGTCCCCAAACCGGTGGTTTAACACAAGTGAAGCCGAGGTGTTCACATGACCATCCAAGCAAACACATAGCTGGACCTCAACATGAATGGCTGCAGGTGCCAGCCAACTAAACATCACATGACTCGCAAATGGTCGAAAGGTGCGTAATATAGTAGGTCGAGAAAGGGTTGTCTTAACCTGACATCTTCTGATCAACTGGATGTTCATTGGTCCTAGAACCCATTGACCTCCTTTTTGATAGAAAAAGACCATATTTGGGATAGTGGATCTTCCAAAACAGGGGTCATTCAGGGTCATTCAGGTCTATAGGGAGACTCTCTAGGTCGTTGCTGACAGTACATGATCAGGCAGGACACTCTCCGACTTGCCCCGCATTGGGAAGTCGTCTTGGGAAGTCGGTCCCACCGACCTGGGATTCCCCGACGGTGTCCCGGCGCCGGAACCCAACGGCAGCTTGCGTTCCGAGAGAAATCTCTCTGGCACTCATCTGCCCAGATTTGTCCATTGATGTTCATCTGCTGAAAGGTTCATGCAAGTGCCCAGGTACCACTAAACTACATCCTCTGAGATGTGGCCTCCAAGTCACAGTGATCAGCTGCAAATCATCATACAAATCAAGTGATCAGCGGATGTCGGAAGTGAGGTTCATCCCAGGAGGCCGGGCTGTGCCCCAAAATACCAGAGCTGCATTCTGTCTTTTGTTGTAGGACCAATAACACGGTCATGTCTCGCCCCTAAAACCGGTCCTTGCTTGTCATGAGACCCTGCTCCAGTGCGACCCTGCTGTTGATCTCATGAGCCAACGGCCACAGTGGAAGATGGCAATGCAACAAACACACTTCGCGCTGAAGCAAGAGGTCATCACAGCCACCAAAATGGTGGGAAGGGTCTTTCATGGTCTTCCAGGAGGGGAGTCTTCCATTGCATTGTCAAATGACGATCGATTGAAACAAAACACATACAAAACCAATTGAACGGTGGTGCAGGATTTTCTGCCAGATGTCCGAGATGTCCTCAGTTTTAGACAGCGTACCCGGGAAGACTCTTTGTAGAAACAGCTTCCGGAGCGAGCAAAAGGGCATGAAGCACTCCGGGCACTTCGTATCTTCTAGACTTCAATTGGCAGGTATCATGAAACGTCAGGACTGGACATCTCGGAAAAAAAAACAAAAAACGGGAGAGCACAGACTGACTGAATCATGGACTTCATCGACAAAGCAGCAAGCACACTTCCAGTGGCATCTCTATGTGATGAGATGAACTCTTACCTTCTCTTACCGTCTATTGAAACCTTTTGAAACCCGGACTTGTTCCTATCACTCCCCTTGGGCACCTCAATCTCAAGGATGCAACACTGAGTGATTTGAGCCAAAGGGGCAGTGCAAAGGAATCGGCCCGGTCCTCAAGCAGTGAATAAGTCAAAAACATCCTTTATGTTGGAAGTGGTCTTTGCAACTTTTGCCAGTGATATGTTTGAAAGGGCCTTCTAACACTGCGCACAGGAGCTAGCATCTGCACTTGATGTTTCTTGATTAAGTCAAGTCTAAAGGTTTCTGCGCAGATCAAGCACACCTGGAGGTCTCAAAAAGCATGGAACGGATACTGGATACTGGAGCCACCTGGTGGCATAGAATCCGTGGAATTGGCATCAAGGGTCCTGAGGCACTAGGCATATCCAGGCATTCCCAAATGATTCCCCAAACATGTCTATCATGACTCAGCAAAGCAACGCTGTACCCAACTATTTGGAAAGCATTTCGGACTGCTACTGTTCCAGTGGTCCAAAAAAAGCACAAGCCCTGGCAAATGACTGCCTGGCAGATTGCCGTGGAGGCCTTAGCAGGTCAGGCTGGACAAGGGTTGCACAACGGGTTTAACAGTTTTATCTTGATTCAATCATTTCTAGTCCAAAGTGCAGAGA